AAATGTATTATTATTTATTATTACCTAAGAGCATATGGGAAGTACCAAAGTATTAATGAATGCCACAAAAATTCTTAAATTGTTCTCACACACAATTCAAGATCAAGTCTGTGCGTACGAACGATTTACGCACAAGGCTCACTGTCCGCGTCGACTCCAGTGTAGAGTCAAGTCACAAAGAGAGAAGAGCAGAACAGGCTCTCGTCTGTGTGTGAGAGAGGCACAGAGAGAGAGAGATCCTTGGGGGGCCCGTTTAATACCTGGTTTCGGTAGTCAATCTATAATAGGAACTATATGCAGTGCCATGGCAATGTGCTTAAAGGAGCCACAGGACGGATAACAGTGTTAGGTCACAGCGTGGGATAATAGCAGGAAAACATACCTTTTAGCAAATTCCAAGAAGGCAATCATCTCCTTCGGGGTGTAGATCTCAGCCAGAGGGTTGTGGGGGTTCATCAGTATAACAGCTCGGATGATCAACCCCTGAAAGAGACGGCCAGTTTGTAAGTAAATATACAGTGATCTACGATATCCACACAGTCCTTATAGAGATAAAGTTGAAAAACACTGAGAAAAATAGAGCTTCCAACGCGTTTAATGTGTTTAACTCGGCCGTTTCTGGAGTGGTTCGGTCTCTCCTTAAATATTAATCAAGGGCAACTGCTTAAGAAAAAATGCATTCATGAATTACCTCTTCCTTAGCCTTTTTCAGACCTTCTTCTAGTTTCCCTACAGTGAGGTGGAAGGGTCGACTGTCTTTGCCATCTGCCTATAAATAAAGAACAACAAGAGGAAAATAAATCAACATCCACATTGGACAGCTCTCATGGTGCACTTAAAGGAGTTTGCAGTGTCCATAAAAATGTGAGTTATATTGAATCTATACAATCAGTAAGGCACAATAAACAAAAGCTCACAGTAAACACTGCAAGTAAATCAGGCTCTGTATTCCTACCTCACAGTCAAGAGGAATGTGAAAGAGTTTGACATCACTGTACAAATGTAGATCCTCGGTGATAACGCCGTAGAAAGGAGTAGGAATGAGAATGGCATCTACAACAAAAAAAGCACCACATGACATCCAAACGCATTCATCATCTCCTTGTCAATATGAATGACTCCTTTTGTACAAATGCATACAAACCTACCACAGATGTATCAGTGACTCATCTTTAATTACCCACGTGAGCTAATATTTAGGTTATTAGCGGTCATTTTAATTGCTAATCCGGGAAGCAAATTCATTAATGAGCCAAATTTGCTCATCTAAATTTGCACAAATGTTGGTAGTAAATACATGAACATGGGCTGCTATTTAGGGCAGCTAGTGAGCAAAACAAACATATTGCATATATTGCTTAAAATGAGGCCTGGCAATAGAGGATTAGCAATTTATGTAGCTTCCTGAATAATTCTGTTATGTCTGAAATGATTATGTCACAACTTCTCTGTTATATTTTACACAATGATCATTTTTAAATACAAAAATCAAACATGGCCAGATTTCCTGTTGCTATTGTAAACATAATTTGTATTCATAAAGAACATATATGGATGTATTGTGTGTGTGTGTGTGTGTGTGTGTGTGTGTGTCAATGCATTCTGAACCTACCTTTAGGGTCACAAATGACTGCAGCAATGCATGAGAAGAGGGAGCCACAACCATT